TTCTTTCTTGCTAAAGCCAAACTTCAGCGAGGAAATTCATGTATACATTCACTGGCTGAGATCCCGTGACGATCGTAGCGACGAAGCGATTTCCTCGCCAAACACCTCAAGCGTCGAATACGAACTTCTACTGAGGAATCATTTCGTCGCTGAAACGTTTATTTGTTGTAGTGTCCCTTCTAAAATATCAGTTGTATAAAAAAACAAATTGGCCTCTAATTCACCTCTACAAGTTGAAGGTTGAAAGGCCCACTCTGAGGCTGGGCCTGAATTTGATATGGCAAACACGAAGGCAGACCTAACATTGTTTTAAAAACCATTTGCCACTCAAAATGAGGGCATAGCCCAACCCCAACTGACTGAGAAAGGCTTGTATCTGATTGAAATACATCTTTTGCAAGAATTAGAGTTTCAATTCACCATCAAATTACAATTAAATTATAGTAATGGAGTATGAATTTGTCCACACAGAGAGCTTTGGCTATCCTTGAAAAGTTCAACACAAAAAAACAAAAACAAAAAAAAGGAGAGAGTGAATATCCTCAAGAACTGACATTCAAAGGAATTCAAAGCCGAAGAGCATGCAGTAGCATATATATTACTACTGCAGTAACCTCCAGGAAAAGCTTGTGTAATTCCCTATGAAAGCTTACATTATCTGTAGTCCCTTTAGAGATAGATTAATCAATAATATATCAGTGATTAGTACAAAGTACGTGTATGCATATGTTTTCCCAGCCTTTTTATTTTCTCGATCCAGACACCAAATTGACTTAAGTGTCAAAAAGCTTTCTCAACCTTTTCCTCTTTTTCAACTACTACCACCACCACCACCACCTTTGGTCCCTTTCTCTTTCACACAGTCATACACAGAGTCACACAGTCTCACAGTCAGTGTATGTCACACCCTAAAATACCGACACCACGTGACAAGCACGTGGATTATGCAGTGTGGTGAAGACAGTAAAACCCTAGGTCCAGGTCGTTTTTGTTATATCACCTGTCCTTTGTTATAAACATTTCAAATGCATTTGTAGTTTCTTTCTCTTCACAAGACGTCTGTTCTTTACACAGTGTCTCCATGATATTAATAAAGTATTGATAATGTTGGTAGATAGTATTTTAATAGCAAAACATATATTTTGGCGCATTATCGATACAAAATATGTCTGCACAAGAGACCGTTTCTATACATATATAAGAATCATACTGTTAATGTATAAGCAAATTTATTATATGTATAGTACTGTTGTTTGAAGTTTGAAATGTGTGGATGGACAAGCTGGCTTTGAGAGAGGAAGCACAGGAGTAGCTAGGGGGAGGGATTTGACATTTACGTGTTGTTTCTTTCCTGCTGGGCCTTTCTGTGTTTCTCTTTCATTTTTCTCTCAGGGTCAGTCAGTCACACAGCTTCTTAATTTACACAACTTTCAAGACCTGTAATAGCTTTGAAATCTGGAGCCAGTATCGTCCTCTCCGTTTGTCAATCTGATATATACATGTACAGCAAATACACATTCAACCTTGAAAGAAAGAAGAAACAAAGACAGAGAGAGAGAAGAAAAAGAGCCAAATAAGAATAAGAGCTAGAAATTTAAAGGTAGGTCTGAGTCTCACTAGGGTTATTCTTAATCTGGTGGTGAAGTTGGGTTCACTAGGCATGGCAGCACATCTTCCGGACACCCCCTTTTAGATAAAACAAGGAGATCATCATGATTCCAAATTCTCGATTTTACTAATCAACAAATAAATTATTCTAATTGCAATGTACATGATCTCATTCAACTTTTTAAGGGTAATTATTCCTCACCATGCCAAGAAACTACAAATATTATTACCAAAAGCTGAAAATAATGTCTCCCAAATTAAGGACCTTTGTCCTATGTGTTGAACTTTTTTTATTTGTATTTTCAATTTTGCATGAAAAATATTAGTTAAAAGAAATTTTGGAATAAATCGGCTCGTAGAATGAATCAGGTGAATAAACATCTCTGGATATGCAGCTAAAAGTTTCATGTTTAAGAATCCAACTATGCAGCTGTCTGGTAATAAACATCTGGATATACAGCTCTAGTCTATATTAGACTAACTCCAATATTTAGGCCATTATTGTGTGAATTTCGTGCTTGACATTATCACTTGAATCTTACAAGAGCTAGGTAAGGTCATAGCCGCATACAGACCTAGGTATATCTATAGACTATATGTCAAATTGGTAGGTAGGGTTTCCATTTGACTTGTATTAAAACAAACCCCTTATATTATATGCAATTATTTTCTCTAGCTAGGGTTATAATTCAAATAAATTATCCAACCATGATACTGAAAAGCATGTGTGTTTAAATCAAAACTTTTACTCCAACATACAATGCTTCAATAAAGAAGTAAACATGAACATTACTAAGGACTAATTTATAAGTGTTTTATGACTGAAAAAGCTTTTAATGAGAGTGTTTTTTTATAAACTAATTCTTAGTAAAAGTACAAATGAATTCTGAAGAAAAAAAAATACTTGAAGTACTTCATGCAAGAAACACATAACTATTATTTCTTCCAAAAGCACTTGAGTGCTTTTCGAACCCAAGAACAATTTCACCTAAGCATTTTCAGTCATTTTAAAGAACTTGCAAATGAGCCCTAATACAATTATTTACAGCACTTTTAACACTGCAATGCATTTGTTTTCAGTGGTTTTTTTTTTTTACAAGTCCAACTTCTGCAGCCCCTAATTTATGTTTTTTTTTAATTTCCCACAGTTGTAATATAAAACATGCCACAGTGTATGGTCTATTGCCTGTATAGGCTCAGTACTTTTGCAGCTTGTGATGTAGGAAAAAAAAAACTAGGGTTCATAAATTAACCTATCTACCCATTATTCCCATCTCACCAACATGCAAATATCCTATATGCTTTCATACACCCAAATTTACGACAATTAATTAATTAATCATTCCGAAGCTATGTCAATTCCCCTTGAATGTTTGAATTGAATAGATGAATGCGACATGGAGTAAAAGAAAAAGGTAAAAGATGTAACCTAGGTGGTGGGGTGAAAAATAAAACGGCGTCGTCGAACCTAGGGCAACCATATATTCACACGCACCAAAGGGAGGAACCCAGAAAAGTCGCCGAGGAATTGGGGGTCGGCGAAAGGTAAAAACTAAAAAGGTTAAAAGGCAAAGTGAAAAATGAGAGAATGGACTCCCTCTGCCCCATCTGTCGGTCATCGCCTCGAAGTCATCGTCCTGCACTTCAGCTCTAAAGTGACACGCCAGCCGAGGGTCCCATTTTTTATTGTTTATTTTATGAATTAAAAATTAATCTTGTTCGAAACTAATTAATTAATTAATTAATTTTGTGATTTCGCATAAAAGTGACAAAAGTATTAAATGGGGTTTCCATCATCGGGCAGCTCAATCACTCAACCACTCCTCTGACTCGCTTCATAGCTCCACTGTTTGTTTTGATTCTTTTTTTTATTTATTCATATTTGTTGGAGAAATATTTTATAATAATATTAAAGAGATTAATTTTATAAATTAAATAACATAAAAATAATAAATAACTTAAATATTAATAACGTTCTTATTTTTTTATTACAGATACATTATTTAATTTATACATTTACTATTACTCAAATTTTTATATGTACCCGACTAGTCATTGTTATGTGATTGTTTTTTCACTTTTTGATCATTGTACAATGATAGTATCCTACGGTCAAAAATGGTCCATCGATCACTAGGCTTACACAGAGTATAGTCGTAGGCTCACTATTGGCTACCCTTGGTATCATGCTTGATGACACAATCAAACCCCCCCCCCCCTCCGGCCCTAAATGAAATGGTGAGTGTTTTTTTTTTTTTTTCACTTTTTGTGGTACTAATTCTCATGCTCCATGCTGTACGAGGAGGCTCATCTGCCAAATCCGACGGTGGATATCATATCATATCATTTTCATCCATCAAATCCAACCTAATAAATTGACCAAAATAAAAACCCTGGTATAAACATGTTTTTTTCTTTCTTTAATTCATTTGTGACTATACAATTTATTAGTATACTATATTTTTACTATGTTTGTAAGAAGTTTTAGGTCTGATCAATTAACAGATTTATCAAGGGGTCAACTTCGGTACTTGACTACGTGGCAGTTGAAAAAGTTTCTAAAGAGTGCCTCTGATGACCCCTTGGTTGTTGGGGTATTCCACAAAGTGTTTGACAAAATGTTTGAGTGAAACTTAGCAACACTCGTCAGCACTTTGGTGTGTGTTGTTGTTGACATTTATCGACAGACTCACTCGAAAGTTGTCAACTTCTATTCAACATATGCTCAATATGGCTATACATATATATCACTTCAGCTCATCAACTGTTCGATAAAATGGCACCCTAAAAAATTTACATGTTGTTTCCGCCTAAAAAATTTAGCACACTACCCCCTCTATTTCTCCAATGACCTCCCTTTTATGACGTGTTTGGTATCAAATTATTGTCTAACTCATTTTATCGAAAATTTGGAAAAACAATTAAATAAAATTTATGACTGTGGCTAGACACAGTAAAAGAAGAGAGAGAGAAGGAGAGATGGTGCATGGGGTCGTGGTCATTTCTGGAAGTGAGAGATGAGAACCCAGCTGGTAGGGAGTCTGCATCTATGTTTTTGTCTTTTTATAAGGCATTTATTATTCTACATATTATAAGGTTTTTTTTATATATATTTATAAGTCACCCCCTCCCACCCCATACCATACTAACCATACCATATCATCGTTCTCTACATTCTCATCATCATTATCATCCTTCATCTCTCTCTCTCTCTCCTCTCTCCTTCTCTCTCTGAACCCCCTTGAAGATAGGCGATACTCTTGGGGGACAAAGGGATAAAAGAGATCAGAGAAACAAACACACACATACATAAAAAGAGATACACTGACTCATGGATATATTATTGTAGCTAGGGTTTCGAAGATGTTGAAGGAGAAGAGGAGCTTTAGCTTTTGAGGGGAATGTTGTCTGGCTCGAGGACACTTTCCTTGATCTATAATCTCTAGATCAACCGTTATATACCTATACATATATCTATATATGTGTTTGTATATGTTGTGTGTATCATCTGCATACATAGATGATCAGGTTAAGTAGTGTCGTCGGACCAGGCTTCATTCCCCCCAATTCATGGCTTCCGATCCACACGGAGACCTTTTTTCCAGGGCAGATGGGTTCTTCATCAGAAGGTTTGATTTCTATTTTTTTTTAATTATTTTTATTTTTATCGATTTGCTATTTTGGGTTTTATTTTTAAACTCAGTTTAGAATTCTGGGTTTTTGTTTTTAGAACAATTAAGGTTGTTAGTTATGTGCATATTGGTGTAATGAGGAGTATCTTGACTACTTTTGTTTTTCATGGACTTGCATGAAAGGTTTGATTGCTGGATCTCCTTTTCATTTATTTTTGTTCTTGTTTGAATCATCATGCTGTGATGATTGTAGCCTAATGATGCCTTCCAGTATCTGATCTGTCTGTTTCTGCCATTTTTTCAGATCTGCCCCCCTTTTTATTATTTTTGTTCATTAAAAAAAAAACTTTGGTAGACATTCTTTCCTCTCTTTCACGTTATAATTCTCTCTCTTAGGGTTTCGTGGGTCTAGATTTATTAGGCTACGATATATCTAAACAAATCTTTTAGAAAATAGCAAATTAATTTTATGCTTAGGAGAACAAGCAAAGAAATGACACCCTTTCTGACACTGTTCAAATGCCTATTTTCATCTGTCAAAAATATATAAATATAAAATTAGCTTCCCTGAACACCCATCTGTTTCTGACTCTTAATCTAATACTATTAGTCAGTAATCCTTTTGCAGTCTTGATTATAAAGTATAATAATGCATAAATAGATTAGTACTTTCCTATTTTCTCAGATCAGTCTATTATTCTCACACTTTTACCTATTAGCTTTGATAATGTTTCTATTAGACATCTCTTGTATCTTGAACTTGTTTCTTTACAAATGTGATGAGCATATGAAAATGTAGGTTCAGCAGAAAGTACGAATACTATAACTTTGGGAAAGTGCTTGTCCAAAAGGAAATCTGTTCACTTGCCTTTTCCTTTAGATTATTTTCTTTACCAATTGACACCAATTTGAAACCCTAATATTGTTTATCTTGGAGTTACTGTGAATGTTGTGAACTTGTGTTTCTCAAAGCATTAGTCCCCCACAATGATTTAACTCCACCTTGGTTTTTGCCCTTTATTATGGCTTTATATGACTAAACTGTGGTTGTTCAAAGAGTCAATGGAGCTTAATTAGAACCCAACCAGGGCTGAAAATTAAAGGTGAGTAGTTTGATTTTATGAACATTTCTTTTTTGTTTCAGTAATTTATATACTAGGCAAGAAAAGTTGTGCAGGTATCCAAGATGCTCCATCAAGTTACAAAGTATCATTAACTAATTTGATCAATTGTTTGTGAGAATTTTCTCAAGTTCAAGAATTCCCTTCGTATTCTTGAAGGGCAGCTGATTAATCCCAGTTTTAAAACTGTTTTTGGTTGTAGAGGTGAATTTCAAACCCTTGCTGGATTAACCCCAGTGGCTTAATCCCAGACTTAAATTGATGCGTAATCAGTCTAGTGTAATTTGTATCTCCTTTAATTGCTTTCCTTCATATTTGCATCTATAATTTGCTACTTGAGAGAACCTCCCAAATGAATAGAGAGAATTAAAAAGGTTGAATACAAGGTTCTGGAAGAAGAGTAGTCATGGTTTCTAAGAACACACATGGTAAATGCCACTGCTCTAATGTAAAATCCAAGGAAACCTCTCTCTCTCTCTCTCTCTCTCTCTCTCTCTCTCTCTCTCTCTCTCTCTCTCATTACACACTCAGAAAGGCCATCACATTCATCTTCAGATGCTTGATATTATTAATAGGGTCCTTGTTAATACATGGGGTCTGCTTGTGTCTCTCCTTTTAGAATTTCACTGTTAGTTTCCCTCTCACAAAACCCTACTTGTAAGAAAAGTCAATCCATGAAAAAAGCAGCTGGTTTGGAATCAAGGAAGCAATCTCAAATGCTAGCAATCAATTATATACTTTTCTTGTGGCTGCAATCACAAATCTATTTCCTTGTTTTCATTGCAGGATGCTTCTCCTTTTTCGTGACCCTTCTTAATTAGTGATAATTTCCCCGGAAAGGGATTAACATTAACGTATGAATGCCGACTCACTGTCACAAGACTTCCTTTTGGGAAGTTGAATCTTTTTTGACCTTTGCAAACATAAAAGTAAAGCCTTTATTATTGCTTTCTTTGTGCCAAAAACTTTCCCCACACCCACAGACACAGAGAAAGAAGAAGGAGATGAGGTTGGAGTCATCAGCTGTCCTTTAGGGCGAGCTACAATGAAAGCTTTTGGTGCATGGCCACAACTTTCGATGAATAATTGGGGTGTGATTGTTCCACTTGACCACGACTTCTTAGGTTTTAGTTAATTCAGTAATTAATTCAAGCTTTTGTATAGGAGTACTTTGGATTATTGTTCCTAGCTATATAGCTAGCTATTAGATCGATGTGCATGGGAAGTTTGGGCTATTGGTCCTAGCGGATGGGAACTTGTGGTGGACCTCGTATTCGTAATAGCGCCATACAAATATAGGTGCTGTAGTACTACTTACAGTTGTTCGAACTAAATAAATCCTCATTGAGTCATGTATTGGTAATAGGGTAATAATTGGAGACCACCTGTGTATCATGACATCACTTGTCTCTTCTCACATGTATTGTGATGTGAAAGTTATAGAATACTCCAACTTCTCTTGAATCATAAGATCCTTTCTTCTCATATATTTCTTTGTAATTTTGTACACTCACAAGGGAGTGCTAGAAACTAAACTCCGAGTATTCTCTACTTTTGTTTTTCCTACTTTAGGGTTTCAATTTATCTTATTAGAATGGTTCCGAGCATAAACACAAATATTAAGTTTTGTGCATCAATTACGAAGTGTTTTGAAGAGGCAAGTTAATACCTCTTATCGGGACCAGTTTTGAATTTCAGAGTAAATAGTTCTGAACGCTTTTTGGGGCATAGATTAATTAATCATAATGCTAACCTGGTTAGAGGTATTCCCTTTTACATTCATGGCCGTAGATTTGTACAAGGAAAAAAAAATCCTTATTTGTTAACTAGTTTGTCGGATTTCCATTATTTGGACCGTACAAGTCCAAAACTTGAGGGTCGAGCTCAAACTAAGCTTTAGGTTCAGAGAAATGCGCATCAAGTTAAGTCTGGGCTTAGCAAATAACGTTTTGAACTAGTAGAGAGGAATGCAATATGGCCAATAATATTTAAGAATAGTTCAAGTTTCTAGTACAAAACCATCATTCATAAAAAGCCCTGCTCAAAAAATGTATTCTCATATAGCCTTGTTTGACATGACAAAAAATATTGACACATGGAAAATGGAAAATATCGATACAAAATATCAAAAACTCAATTTTTCTTCAACAAAACACACATTAATTCTCTTAACAAAATCCACGATTTCCCCACACATGCATGAAAGGGAACTGATCCATGCTTCATATAAATGTAGAATGCATTGACCTTAATGCATCCGGTGACTAGCTACATATATCATTGTTTCCCTATTTTCGGCCGGACTGGGTGGCCTAGAAGGACTTTCGGTCCTTCTTTGGTTTAAATGCACAAGCATGCTATCACATGGCCGAGATTGGCCTACTTAGAAAAGATGTAAAAGTGATTGTGTTTGCACCTTAGATTTGACTTCTAATCAAATCAAGGCTTTGAACGAAGAACCAATGGCGTAGCCATGAATTATTCAATGGGTGGACTAAGTAAAAATTATTACTTTGAAATCAAATTTTTAATCTTTTTTTGCGTACATAAAGCTATATAATAGTAAACTTGAAAGTAATAATTGAAGAAATTTATATTGCCACTTAGTACTACAGTCTAATGGTATTCTTCTTCACTTGTAAGTGAGAGGTCTTAAGTTCAATTCTCGCCAAAGGTGAATTTAAACCACATTATTGCTAGTTTATTATGAAACTGTTTGGGCCCAAAATATTAGTTTGGGCCGAGTATAGAATCATTCTCGGCCCGAAAGGCCTTGCGACATGGGTGCCGTGGATCGTTCAGTACGTGGGCCTCCAAACCTAGGACGGCTAAGTCATGACGCAAGACAAGTCGAGTCCTGGTGCAATAAGGAGTCTCGGCAGGATCAATAACCCGGAAGAGAATTCGGTTCAATAAAGGACTAGGTTCACAATCATAGTGAAAATAGAATTGGTCGAGTTAGTGTTTGATCAGGAGAAGAAGTCCTAGTCCAAATAGGGTTTTAACTCGACTTTGAGGGTATTCGTTGCTATAAATAGAAGAGGTTGTGCATAGTTCAAGCCTCTCCAATTCAACACACAACTGCCCTGCGCAAACTCTATCAACAACTTTGAGATTTTATTTTCTCTTTTTACTGACACATCTTCCGTTGGCATCAACAGCACTGTGAAAGCAACCGGTGATATCTTAAGTCGGCATAGATAGCTCTGTCACCGTAGAATCAGCCGGTCTCGCAGCATCTTCCGTTGGCATCAACAGCATTACGGCGAGGACGGTTGATTACCTATCCAAGTCTCGGTCGAGAAGGATTTCTGAATCCTTATTGGTCGAGGTCATCTCATCAGCCTTCTCGGCAAAGTGAGGTGTTACAGTTATTACATTCGGTACATTGAAAGCCGAATTCGATTCGTGAACTTCGTAAGAATAGTAGCCTTGTCTTCAGGCTCGAGAATCCAAGAGGCCGAGACGTGTTCCTTTCTCGGCTGCAATCGCAAGACGCAGAAGTCAGTAGCGCGACCTAACGCAACATCAACAAAATTTACTCCTCGGCCGAGTTCGACCGACGAGTTGGCACGCCCCGCATTCACCGAAGGACGTAGTTAGCTTATAGATTACTCGGCCTACGCGCCACGTAGGCTTAGTAGTTTTTAGGGTCAACATTTTGGCATGCCTGGTGGGACCCAGTGCTAAACTACGAAGTTTATGCCAATTGAAACACGATCGGTAAAAAAGAAAACAGCTATGGGAAAATCAACAGCCGATTTACTAACTCAGAACATAGGACACGGTGTGCCACAGGCGCAGAATCCCATTA